AAAGACCTCATCTCTTTCTACATTTAATTTCCATGGTTAAAACTAGGTTGATTGCTGGAAAGAGACTGCACGTAAACCACGGTCAGGTCTCAATGGCACGTCCACTGTACAGTTACACCTCATCCACATGACCAGTTTAAGATCTTTAGAGGTCAATACTGACAAAACTGCAAGCAGTCACTTGCCAGGAAATAGTCAACAAAGTCTGTTTAAAGCATTTAAACAAATAGCCAGTGCTATCAATTCTGAGTGAAGCCAATCTGGAAGCCATTGAAGTTAAAGAAACAAAATAGACACATAATTAAAAATATAAAAACAGAACTAATGATTTACACATACACAAACACACACCCACACAGAAGCACAGCTGGAAGCACAGTGCTTACAATCAGACATGCTAGGGATGCCAGAATCTAATTTTGGCCACCGCGCAATGCCAGCTGGCCAAATAACACTGCTTCAGGAGTTGTTTTCTTCTAAGAGTTATAGTAGCACAATGAATGTGAGATATCCAGCTCACAACTACAAATGCAAATTATGGAAGGAAACTTTGCATTCCACAAGAGAGGTACAGTAGATCAGTATCTTTCTTGGAAAAAGGAAATAGTTTTCTCTCCAAGTCAGACAGTCTGTCAGCACTACAGCTTGTCAACATGTGTTCTGGCAGTTTTACAGAAGCTAAAAATATACTTCACAATAAGACATACTAATATTTTATGTCATAAAATACAAATGATAAATGACACTGTAATTCAAGTACTTCTTTCTTTTGTTTAAAATCTTAAAATATATAAAGCTTTGCTGACATATAATGACACCAACTCCTGCACAACAAACTAAACTTAAAGCAGTGGTGATAGAGTCACCACAGAAATAAACTTTTTATTTAGTCGATGCAGAACGAATGGTGAGCTTTGCTGATCATGAATGTAGTGCTTTACAGGTACAAAAACATCAACAAGCAATAATATGTTGCACAGCAGCACCGTGTCCCTTACCACTTCTCTCCTCTGGCAGCCATATGTTGCTGAACAGTGTATCCAAACTGGGCTTGTTTAGGGCCTTTGATGACCCTGTGTCTCTTTGTGTCGATATTGAAGCAGTCATGGAAACCTTGAAAGGAAAAAGACAAGTTTTATCAGCGTTTGCTTAAGAAGAGTTTGAAATTCTGCCGCTAATAACCTGTAGTTCAGTGCAGAGCTCTATAGTATTAGTAAAAACCACACAGAACATCTACTTTTAGTGTCATGTGTTATTTTCTCAGCAGTCTTCTGAGTGTCTGTCTGTATTGAAAGAAACAGTTACAGTAACACTGATTAGATTTCAGCATCTGGCTGAAGAACAACAAACAGCTGTAAAGTCCTCCTTACTCATCCTTCCTGCCCTGTCTCATGTCTGTTTGTCCTCCTGTGCCAATCTAAACACAGATTTTCCTTGTAAAGAAACCAATAATCATGTAAACTCTGCAGAGCAGTAGAGCTTCTTCCATCGCGCCAGCCTCACCACCAACATGACCAGTGTTTAACTTCCATAAGAGTTCACTGACAGACAGCGATGTGGCATACTTCATCACAACATTCGGTTTACATGTAAGAGGCCTAGGTCAAATATCTCATGCCTCTTATTTACAGTTCAGAGGTTAGGGAGAACTTGAAAAGCTGGAGAAATGTCCTTCTGTATGGATACACATGCATCAGTGTGTAACATCTTGCAATTACTATTATAAAATTATAAGACTGGTAAAGGGATTCAGCAATAAGGCCTGTCCTGATGGTGAAGCTGACATGTAACAAGAGGGTCAGAAGTAAACAGGAGTAAATCTATTTTCCAGGATGTATCTTCTTGGTAGAAAACAACAGTGACCACCTGCTTTCAATTAAAAAACCAAACGGAGAAGGCATTTCTGAGACTCTGCATGTCACCAAGTTATACATTACATTAAATTAATGGTGACAGCAACATTTGGCTTTTAAATTGCCATCAGAAGATGAGGACTCACTGTCAGGACATAGAGGATGAGGTTTTTCTTTTGGCAGAGCAGCAGGGGGGAATGCAGTCATCTACCACTTTGACTTCCTCTTGATCCTCTGCTCCCTGCTGACCTGTCTCCTACTTAATTTCCTGATAACTTCCGTTTCAGTTTATAGTCAAATCTATTGCAAGTGTGTCTTCTGATTAGAGCTGTTCCACTTATGTTTCAACTACTGTAAGATCAAGGATTATGTTGACCTAGAGCTCACTTTCATTTCACAGCGAAAAAGCACAAAAACTTAGGAGAGTAGGAGGGAAAGTGAAGCATTCTTTATGCTTAATGAGACAGAGGTGTATTTTGTAGGAGCTGAAGATTTTAAATGTAGTGTTTTCTTACAGTCTGAGCTGCACAGTTGAGCTGAGAGCAAAAGGTCTTTGTTTTCACCCCCGCACACATCCACTTCTTAAATCTCTGTGGTTCTTGTCCACACACTGTTGGGCTTATTCAGTCCCTTGTATTCACGCTAAACATCCCCTCTCACAGTTTACTCCCGGTCTCTGCGGTCACGTCAAGTCATGTGAGCCCTTTTTTTGCTGCTATGAGAATTTCAGTTCACTGTAAACAATAAGATGAAGGAAGCTGAAAACATAAAATTCAGATTAAGCCACAACAAATAACTGAGTTCAAATGTAAACTTACCAGATATAACAATTTGTACCATTTTCCTATTAAGTAAAGCTCTGGTTGAATTTTTCCACACACACCTCACAAGACTGAAAAGCACTAACATTTAAGGTTGTTTGCCCCTTTCAGCAAGACAAAACTCTCTGAGAAAGAAACAAAAAAATACAAGCCCAATCTGATGTTACTTGTACAGTAAGAGGGCGACAGTTTACTGAACAGAGGTTCTGTTAAAAAGCAAAACTGAGATTTTCTTGATGTTGACTTTCAAGTGAGTATCAAAGTGTTGGTTTGACAGTGTGTCAAATACAAGATGTTTATAATCAGGCCCAGCATTACAGCCATTCATGAGGTTTTATTTTTGGTGCCCCAAATATTTCTTCATCTTTACAAAAATGCTTACAGTAGACGCTTTTGGACCAAAGTGTTCGAGGGACTGGCAGCTCCCCCAGGAACTACACACCTTCAGGGGCTTTTCACAGAAGTGATGTAACACTAAGCTGACCAAATGTTAGCGATTCGCCAACAAGCACACAACAATTAACACATAGCAAAGTTACTTTATCAGTAAGCATTTTCTTTATATGTTGCTAATGTTAATTCTACAATATAAGTAGCCACCCACCCTCTGCAGAGCCTTCCATTGGTGGAGCGTGGCTGCCCATGCTGCTGGTGATGGATATTGATCACTATTGTTTACACAGCTAACATGTTTTTGCAAAAATGGCAGTTAGCGGTGCTGCAGTAAATGTACATGCATGTCACTCTTGTTCCTATTATGCTCTGAGAGTAGCCTACCTGGCCTGAGGTAGGAGCTAAAAACAACATTCTAAGAACGATTGTCATTCTCAGTTCCTGCATCAAGTATGTGTGTTTTTGGAGTTGGATAATGAAGGTGTGAATGAATCGCACAGGTAAATCAAGAACAGAATCCTTTGGGGTAAAAAGCTGCTCTACACAGTTTATACAGAGTTTATGTTAGACAATAAATAACTAATGTAAAAATGTTTTGCCATCTAACAGATATGTTGTCTTGAGTGAACATCCAGCTAAAGGACAAGTATGATATTTTAAAAATCTCAGAACAAGACAAGATAATGTAAGATAATCTTTTGTGCCTCATAACGGGGAAATTTATAAGAACAACATCAATATTAGTAGCAAAAAAACAACACAAACAGTGCAATGAATAAGCCGTATACACAGTATATTGCACAGGAGAATTATTATTATGACATTGTACTAGTTTAGCACTGTAGGCTGAATATTACACTAAAAGTGTATTTTGTAAACTGTATTATGTGAACTGTGTTTTTGCCACATCAACAGGTCAAATAAAAATGATTTGCCAGTCACTAGTAGCAGTAATAGCAGAAATAGAGGGTACATTTCCAGCTCAGGTTTTGGCACATGCAGCTGTGTCCCTCAGCAGAAATATGAAGTTGTCTGCATTCTTTAGATAGTGAATATTAAGGAGTGTTAATGGGTTGTTTAAACAAACAGCAAACCAGATATCTACTCCTTCCATTTCTTAGCAACTATCTACAGTAGAACTGGGACTGGAAATGAAGCTTCTGGGACTAAACTCAATGTCAGAATCATCACCACCACAATTTACCACTGGAGACTATGTGAATGGCGTCACAGCCTCAGAGTGATTAAAAATATCACACGCTGACTGGCACATCCATTGACCATTTCTTCAACCGCCATTAAACTAAATGGCCGCCTATGCCACACAAACTAATTTCGAATTCAGTGTAGCTGAAATACAATAATACTGGGAGACTTTTAAGTACTGAAACACTTTTGTTAAGATGCAATCTCAGAAAGGCAGAAGAGGAGAATGTGCCAGGGTGGCAGCATGAGAATGGAGTTTGGATCCGGTTTCCATTTCAAGCTCTTAATGTGGCCAATGTGACTAGTAAGGTCAGAGTTTTGCTTATTCCCCTGTGTACTGGCTTTCATGCCCAGATAAACAAAGCTCAGGCTGGTGGCTGCTGGAGCGACCCACATTAGTCTGCTGCTACCTCTGGCCCCACACCAAGCCACAGGAGCTCTACCACAAACCCACTGACACAGAGCAGCTGTGCAGGTGCACCGTGCTAACTGCTGGCTTGGAGACATGCATGATGCGGTTCCTTTATAAGATCAGACACTCTAATATGTTTTAGAATGAATGAAAACAGAGATCAGAATGCTCACAATGCTTCTCATTTGCTTTTTGTCTGTTTATAATCACATATGTGTATGTGAGTGTGCACACTAGACATTTTGTCTTACTCATGGCTGGTGTGATGGCCAGTAGCATGAATTTTAACAAATATGAGAAGGAGTCTGCACAGACAATAAATCTCAGTGTACTGTTTTGATTCATTCTGGGCTTCCATTACAATGGTTTTCTCTGGAAAGATACTTCATAGTGAACAATATATTTTGAAATATTTTGGCACTTTACATCCCTACGCAATGCCAACATAAACACTCTGGAAGGCACGAGGTATCTAAAACCAGATGTTCCCAACACACCACAGCCAACTGGACACTGTTTAACAAGTTGTTAACTCACTGAGCCAATAAAAGATCGTCCAGGGACTCGAACCCAGTCTTTGTGGCAGCACAGCACAGGATGTGTACCACCAGATGTCTCACACAACTACACTACAAAGTCAAGATATTTGGAAAGTTAATAAGCGCTAAGTTTGATATTCAGAAATAACATAATGTTGAGTATTACCTGCTTCTGGCCAGTGTAACATTAACAAGTTGTAACACTAAAACTTCAACAGCCCATTAGTATAAATCTAAATTATTCTTGAATAATGAGCAGATAAGTCAAACAATAAATAACTTTAATAACTGATTTTAATGAGCCATTCTGAAATGAACTACTACTACTAAAAGGACAAGTTGTCTAAAGTTTGGGAGCACTTTGTATTACAGACTAAAGAGAAGATTAAGTGCTAATAAATCAGATTTGTCATCATGACCCAGGAGCAAAAGGGTAACATAAATGCATGAGCATCTGAAGACAAGATGTGTTGGGAGTTACAGCAGTCACAAAGGAGATTCGGGAACATGTTACACCAGCAACAATAACTTTACAGCATGTGAAGAAATGTAAGCAACTACCACACCAAAATCATGAGGACAGATCTGTCATATAGTAGTTGTCCCTCTTATATGGATGTATCATCTACATGAGGTGGCTCTACTCAGAATGATGTGAACAGGGTCAAAAGTCCCAGGATTTCACAGCAGACAAAAATGCAGCCTCCTTCTTATGTGTATACCAAAACATTTTCCAGCACAGCCAGCATTAAGTGTTCATCTGCTGACCCCAGATAGAAAGTCAGTGACTCCCTCACTGTGGTGAGTCCAAATCTCAGTCCAACAAATTCCAAAATGAAACCAAATATTTATAGTAGAGATTTCCTCTTGTCCACTCTTTAGTTTTGTATTATTTACCAAATGTCTAAAATGAAGACAAATGAACCTCTTCTTCTTCAGTATTAACCTTGGGGTGATTCTGATAAAGCTACAGGAGTGAATAATGCTTCATTGTTTAATTGCTTAAAGAAGAAATGCTCATGTACAGCCATGGTGACAACAGTATTTTGGCCAACACAGAGGCTGTGTAAACAAAGTGGTTACAGTTCACAGCATACTGAGCTCCAAATATGAATCCAGTATTCTTCAGCACTGCATCAGCTGCATGCAGTTCTATAGTTTATATAAAGTGCACAGTTGATTTATACTGGTAATTTTATATTAATCTGTGTGACTCATGTTAAATGTTTGTCTTACAACATACTGTACATGTGTTTTTGGTCCCTTTTAGTCACTCTCTGTCTCTTTCTTTTTCTTTCATCCTGTCTAGATTGATCACTGCTATAGTGATTTCACTGCTAATTGACCACAGTTCTGGCTGAGCACCAACAACTCTCTGGTTGCTGAAAACTTGACTGTGAAAAGATAGGATCAGCTTTCATTTGAAAGAGTGCGCCTGCTTCCAGTGAGGCACAGAGCACCTCTGTGGACCTGAGCACATCCTTCAGTCAAGCTACTGACCTCTGCCTTCCTGTCTCTCACCATGAGACTGGCTCAAGTCACCAGGTTATGATGCCTTTCATCTATTTATTCAGATGTTTTCTTCAATCACTGTATATGTGTACACATACACAATTTCAGCTAAACTGGAAAATTAGAGCTACAACAAAGCCATAATGTAGCTTTTAAAAGTTTTGCACTCCAGCTATTTATGTCAAACCTTTAAAAGCAACAGTCTCAAAGTTTCCAGTAGTTGCTGGAATAAGTACAACTAACACTTAGGATGCTATTATAGGACTGCAAAGCTACATGAAGAAATAAAGAAGGTCAGATTCATCAGTATCAGCACAACACAAGCATGTCAGGGTGCATACGGCACATACACACACCTTTCACTCACCTAAGTGCTGGCTGCAGATCCAGAGCAGGATGAAGCAGTAGTACTCCATATGTTGGCCGGTGCAAGCGTGCATGTGTTTTTGTGTGTATGTGTGTGTGTGTGTGTGTGAGAGAGAGAGAGAGAGAGAGAGAGAGAGAGAGAGAGTGATGACTGCTGTGAATGTGTATATGATGGGCTGAGACAAAGAGACCCAGTGACAGGCACAGATCCCACTCTGATCGACTCTAAGTCAAAGTTAAAGCGCTGCCTATATCTTCTGAAAGTAGGAGGAGACTGCAGAAGAAGAGCAAGAAGAAGAAGGAGGTCCACTCTGACACAGCAGGCAGGAAAACTCTGTCTCACACACTTTTTCAACTCAGACAGACAGGGTGACTAAAGACTCATCTTTGCAGTTGAAGGCATTGAGGTTTTGAGCTGTTAAAGTGCAAAGGAATGAAATATATCCATTTGTTCAACTAACAAATAAAAAAAACATGGAGTAAAGTAAATAAGAATTCATGAAGCAAAGTCCAGCTGTAAACTTTGGTGGGACACCTAAACAAATTTTGTGAAAATCATCATTATTAAAAAACAAGCAAACAAAACCTTATAGCTTATCACTGGCAGAATCCTTTACTCATTACAAACCTCAGTTGTCTTCTGTCAGACTCAAGCTATGTACCACAAATGCTATCATCATGACACAACCACAAACTTACCAGCGTATTAACAGTGGAACGCAAATGTAGGGTTTGCATGTTACCTCATAGCCTTGCAACTGAGCCATCCAGTCCTAACTACAGCACGTGTAATGATCCCATTTACGTAATAAGACATAGTTTATGCACATTAGCCCTCCTGAAATCCATTTGTGGTTACCTGGTAGAACTCCAGTTTGCAACTTAACCACAGTAAGTCACATAAATGGACATCTCTTCTTTACATGGGTCGCATTCTCACTTTGGTCTGGAAAATTATTTTTATGCTGGCAATGACTGAAGCCTATGTTTGAATAAAATACATCAACACCTGTGTTTGCATAATAAGCCACTGGGACATTAGCTATATGCAGAAGTGATTAGCTGGTACCCCAGTACATGAAGTAGAGTTCCAGTGTCAAATTTGTGGCAGATATTCCTCTGATACAGACGAATGAGCCATAGTTTTTATGCTGATGTCAGTGATTGTATTTTTTGTGTGTATTGTGTCCATATTAAAACTACATGAACAGTGCTCTTATTACCAGTCATGGTACTACAGGTCATATTGCCAATTTTGTTGTGATCTTTGCGCATCTATCCAAGTTTTCTTCTGTTCTGTAAGGACAATTGGACTATGTAATTAAGGTGCTCTATGAATAAAATACAACTTCAAACTGCTTAACTTGAATAAACTTTACTGTAGCTTTACAGCTGATTCACCTTCACCTCTCTCATCAGAGCCATTTTCAGACCAGTATCGTAATTGTCAAGTCCAGGACTCAGAACTGACTTGGACTCAGAAGTTCGAGGCGAGGACTTTTTTTTTTGTAATGGGTCATTACATAAAAAACATGTGCTTGACACTAGTGCTGCCAGCCTTTAGTACCAGACTAATCCTGATAGAGAGTGTGTGTGTGTGAAGCACATCCAACACTGTTCACTTAAATGTAGCGTGTATGTGTGTGCTTACAAGTGCATACAGTCTCTCTGGCTATTAGGTCACATGCAGTGAGTAAACTCCTTTAAAATGCTGAGGGCTGTGTCAATAATGTGAATAATGTAGCCCTTGGTGATTGAAGGACAATGGTAATGGGGACTGGACTGGGACTCAACTTGGACTATTCTTTGGTTTTTCTTCTCAGGGTTTAAAGACTTAATTCCAACACTAGTTCAGATATAGCAGACCCGTTTTCAGTGAAAAGGCTCTCAAATCCACACTGTCGCACACTGACAAAGCTGATGACTAGCTGTGAACATAATGGAGCATAATGAGCCTCACAGGATAGCGAAGAGCAAATCAAACCTGCTAAAAGGAGAGAGTATGATTAGATTTAGTCACAAGAACAGAAACTTGACTCCAAATGTAATTTTTGTGTAAATGCTGGATGCATAAATAAGCAACTGCTAATAAGTTTGTCATATCAGTGCAAAATACGTCAGTGTTGTGTTCACAGCTTCACAGCTATTGCAGGCTAATGGTGCTATACAAATACAACACAACTCATTTCAGTTTGGTGGGCCTATTTTATGGATCCTGTGTAAAACACTGTTTGAATCACATACGGTAGATCAGGGGTGGGCAACTCTGGTCCTCGAGGGCCGCTGCTCTGTTTGTTTTCCAGCTATTCCTGCCCTACCCACTGCTGATTACCTGGATCAGGTGTGTTCAGTCAGTCAGAAGCTGGATGATACCAATTTGTCTTTCCTCACTCCACCTTCATCTAAGATGACCAGGACTGGGCACCCCCGCTGTAGATCATATTTTGCTGTTGTCTCTGTGACATAATTGCCAAGTTTAGCAATTATTATTCTGATGTTAATGCTGGTGGAGTTGGGGAAGATTTCACAGATGCTTCATTAGATGAAATGAACTTCGAGGGTGCTGCATCTGAAATTTAAAAATGATCGGGTACTACAGTTTAATAGAAAAATATATGTTAGAAGCTGAGAAATGAGGCTCACAGGAAGTGATGAATGAAGGAATCAGGGATTAAGAATTAGCTTTCAAAAATAGATTACCACATTGACCACACACACAACATCCAGAGCAGACCGACAGTCAAGCAGCCCATGCCAAACTGTGAGGTGCCTGTGAATCTCATCAGGATGTTTCTCACATTTCCAAATCTGATACTGCCTTGTGAACAGCTGCTTATCTGAAAATCAGTCAAACCTGCAAGTACACATATATCATTGGCTCTAAGAGATACTTTCTCTCGGTTTGCAATCAGAGTCCTTTTAACCTGGAGCAACGTCTGTTAACGTAAATCCAGCCAGTGGTTGTGCTTTAAATTAGGATTACCAAACCATCAAAATAATAATAATAATAATAATAATACTTGCTTTCATTAAAGGTAGTTAAAAGCTCACTTTTTCCTCCTTCATCACTTCTTTGCAGTAGAGTACTGGCCTCCTTGTTTCTTACAAGTGAGTAAATTGAGCCCTGGACTCTTGATGTAAATATTAGTGGGCAGGACTCTTCAAATGAGTTATGAAAGCACATTTCCTCTAAACTGCATTGTGCTTCCTGCGGACATTATGCTATTTTAAAACAAGAGTAAGTCTACAGGATATACCAGGCTACGTTCAGGCAGGCTAACAATACAATACAACAAAGAAGTGTTTTAAAAGCCAACATTCTTTGCCCATCAAACTCCACTGGAATAAAACATTCCCAAACTGGAGGGGAAATCAGGAAGTCACAGAGGTTTGGTAGTCATTATAACATAACGTTCTCCATAAACATGAATAGTTTCATGACAAGAATTGTTTCATGCAGTATTGTGGGTACAAACTCATAGCTGAAGAATCTCCTGCTGTCAGCTTGATAGATCGAACAGAAACCTACAATTAAGATTAAGGTTTGCTGCTCTGAATAAAGGCAGTGTGCCAGCGCAGTTACTTTTTGTCCTGGTTTCAAGACCAGAGAGAAGCGGCGAGCAATTCTCCCCAGTTCTTTGCTGCTAACCAAAATTGTAGATATTTAGCTGTCAGTGAGGGGAGGGGCAAAGGTTAAGCAGACCAGAGGCGAAACAAGCAGTGTGAAAAATTAGGTTTTGAAAATCTTATTCTATTACCCTGCTCCAGACCATACAGTATAAACCGTCCCACTGTGAGGCACAGCCTGACATCAGTATTGGACAGAAGTTGCACATATATCACCTTTTACAGGCCCCTCTCCAAAACCATACCACAACTGCAAGCAATTACCTCAACCACCCCAGGATTATCAGTTTGTGTGCAATATATACGGCTGTCTCCTCAGGCTAGAACGGGAGCTTTGGCCAGACACAGGACACGTCCTCTGGGATTAGACATAAAGAAGCAAACAGCTACTCCCATCACAGTTTAGTCTGGGTGCGTCTCATGTTGAGACCCAGCATCTGCCCCATCATAAGTTTTAGCCTGAGCCCTAAACCTGCCAGTGATATTGTAAGTGCTATACATCATATCTTTGATGGTAAAACCAAGCAGCCACAAAGGCTCTTCAGTTTCGCCGTGAGCTCAGAAAACTGCATCTCTCTTCTCTGCCTCTCTTTCATATCTCAGTCTGTCTCAGAGGATGTACTTCCCCAAAAGTGCATGGAAGCTAAAGCAACCAACAACGTGAGGAAGTGTTCATCCCATTCACTGAATAAAGAAACAACTGGGAGGACAGATTCAGACTCACGGATCTGTATGCGAAGCCTTGGCCAGCTACTGACACTGGACGTTTCATATGCAGTCTTCAAGACCACAGTCCCATATCCTCTTGTCAGAAGTCCAGTTCTCTGTTAAAGATATTTCTTGAGAACATTCAACTGTACATGGTGAAGCTTATTGCCTGTGGAGATGTTACTTTCCACAAGTCATAGCCAAGTAGGCAGGATCAGGATGAAACAACAAATGTTTTTTTTTTAAATAGCAATAGAGCACACACTCAAACTCCTCCAGGGAGCTTTTGAAATACATTGCTCTTTCAGCAACTGGTTTTTGGCTCTGTATCATCTACTGTAAGAGCAGCAGGGAGATATTACTCCACAGGTCCAGCGAGTAGCCCTGCATAAAGCATTAACCTGGATCAGTGGTGGAAGAAGTCCTCAGATTGTTTACTTAAGTAAAAGAAGTAATACCACAGTGTAAAAATACTCTTCTACAAATAAAAGTCCAGCATTCAAAATGTTACTTAAGTAAAAGTACAAAAGTATTAGCAGTAAAAATTCCGTATTCATCATTCAGAAAGAGAAAGAACAAGAGCTAGACTGCAGAAGTGTAAACTATAAACAAAGCTCCTCTCGTTCAGCACAGCTGCTGTTTACAGCTGCTTCTAAGTGAGAATATGTCTGATAAGAAGTTGCAAACGACACTGCTGTTCTCTGCCCTCGGCCTTTTGGTTGTGGAAGAAGAAAGGAGGTTGTGGGGGTGAAAAACAAGGCGAAACTGCACTAAATAGGTAAAATCATGGATACTACAGAGACAGGCTTCCCAAACTCTCGTACATTGATTCGCTAAGCTGAACAGCCAATCAGAGTGCTCTTTCTCACCAACAAGCTCCGATGCTGATTCAGC